TTTTTTTTTCGATTTTTTTTCTCTTTTTTTTAAATCTTTCTTCCATTCCTTCATATTATAACTTTCTACTGCCAATGATTTGACCTACACTTAGAACATAACTCAGTATAACTCAAAAAAAAACGAGATCAGATCAGCTAATAATAACAATAAAAATATTAAAAAACATACGTGAGACCCATAATTTCATCAGATCGGTTTCGATGTGAACATATTGCAGGCCAAATGAGCATATCAAATATGCAGCAAGGCCAAGAACAACAACGGACCAAGCCCAATTCTGTACAAATGAACCCAATGTAAAAAGTAATGATTGAAAAAAGGATCGTGCATAGAGCGCCATTCGATTACCCGTCGCTACACCCTAAAACAAATATCAGATAATTTCGGTTACATTACGACAAAATCCTGGTTACAGTACAATTCCGGTTACGGTATGACGAATAATTCTGGCTACAGTATGACAGTTATGGTTACAGTATGACAATTCTGGTTACAGATAATTCTGGTTACAGTACGAAAACAACAAAATCACTTGCAATGTGTGAAAAACCAAAAATACAATAAGTTCTAAACAAGAAGCTGGGGCTAAATTTAGGCCTTAGATTTGTGGAAAATTAAAGAAAAAGCAGATTACTGAAGGGATAATTTGGGTCTAAGAATGCAACCTTTTTTTAACGCGTTTTATCGTCAAAAAAAATGCAATATAGAAAGATTATGTCTGTCTATCTGCAAGTGTGTATATGAATGTGTGTGTACGTGTTGAGTATATGAACCTGGTCGATTTTTGACGGGGAAATTGCTCATTGAATAATTCGGTTATTTTCAGAAAAAAAAACAATCACCGAACGGAAATTGCTACTTTCGTTTATGCAAAATTTACGATGATTTACGGTGTTGAGTAGATGGTGTCTAATAACAATATTTGCTAATTATCTCAAAATTAACTTGTAATCTATAAATACTAATTGCTCGCTAAATATTTCGATTATTTTCAGAAAAAAAAAAACGATCACTAAACGGAAATTGCTATTTTCGTTTATGCAAAATTTACGATGATTTACGGTATTGAGTGAATGGTATCCACCAATATGTGCTAATTACTTCAAACTTATAATCTATAAATACTAATTACGATTTGTACAACTAAAGTACCATTTCAATTACTTTAAAAACTGTTCGCACTTACCCGAACAATTTGTTGTAGAGCCATATCGGCATCGCACCATGTTGGTCGCATCGAAAACTGTTGTCGCCATTTTTCCGAATAACACGCCGAATCTGAGGATTTCTTACCAACCAACCATTTATCCAAAACCTGTAAAAAATATATGTAATAACAAAAAAAAAAAAAAAATAACGATTTTGATAGTTTGCCCAGGAAAATTATGAACAGTATCCAGACAATTGTTGGCAATAAAAATACGTCCAAAAAACCACAAATATAGTGAAAAGGAAAAAAACGCTTGGATTTCTGTGAAACTAAAAATTTTATGTTGAG